TTGCAATCCTAAACATCAATGGAAATATTGAAGTAAACAATACTAAGTAAATGACAGTGTTTATTTGTGTTTCAAATTAATAAATTATGTTTAGAAAATAAGAAAATGTTTAATTTCCTCTTATGGATTAAAATACATACATTTCAGAAAACGTTAACTACATTACAGTGTCGTAATTGAAGATTCAACGGATAAAACCAATTTACTATTTTATGCAAAAGTACATACTTTTATGTTTCAAATAATAGTTTAACTACTATAGGTTTTCCTCAGACTTAATGATAGTGCAACACAGTTTACTATGACTAGCAAAATAGAGTTTGTAATTTTAAAGCTTAACTGATTACCTATAATGTTGCATTGATGCATGTTCTAGCGCTTCGAAATTTTTTTTTACAATTCTGAAATGAGTTTCATACGCTAAACAATTAGCTACAGAAACGGTATCGTTGTCAGAAAACACGTATACTTACATATTTCTCACAGTGATGGTTTTTCTTTAAGTGAAGCGGAAACATGAAATGTATGTTTAGTGACATCTTATCACTTTTGTTTCGACTAAGCTGGTGAAATCTCCTTGATAAAGTGATCATAAAAATAAAATATTATACTTAACGAAAAATAAAGTAGGTGTGATAGGACGGTACATTTGTCACAAGATGAAATCTTCAATGACTATATTTGAAAAATAAGAGAGTTATGATTATGTTTAGGCATATGTGACTTTTGATAGTATGTGTTATATCGTTCGTGAGTGTAAATTGGTCATCTTAAGGTATGAATTAATTCTCCATTTTACTCTATTTATAATTAAACAGAAGAGTTAATTCAAGTTGCCTAGTAAACATAAAGTACGTACCTTTTAATATCGAACAGTGAAGTTCATCTTTGATGTTTAATAACTCATTTGTTTAATTTAGTTTACAAAAAAGTATTTGTGTATAAAACTATTTTTGATTGAGATCATGAACCGATTGATGTCAGACCACCATAAAAAACACGGAAGTACTGAACGGCCATTCTGTCCTATTGTGTGACTACTCAGAAGTGCGCATCCACAATCCCGCTCTCAAGATTCGAATCCAGGATCTGTCGATCTCGCACGCGAACGCTTAACCTTTAAACCACAGAGCTCGCATTCAACGGTGTTAATGTCTAACCTCAACCAATTCACGAACTATTTTTCTCCGATATTAATTTACTTAGTGGATAACTTGAACACAGAAAGAGGATGGTGATTAATCTAGAAATCTCACAATACTGGCATATATATGTATGTATATATATATATATATATATATATATATATATATATATATATATATATATATATATATATATATACTTATCTGTTCAGTTATTCATTAATTCAAAACTAATAAGGAAACTTTATCTCGTTTTTCTTTTATTTATTTATTTATTTATAAACCGCATACAAAAATACAATAAAGTGTATTGATAGAGTAGTCAGAACATCCATTGTTATATTTAATAGTAAATTGGTTTTTAAAGAAAACAATTAATAGCACATATACATTGTTGTCATGGTGAAGAAGATTTATAGTTCAGGTGGATGATTTTGATAAAGTGTTATTCTCCGAGCTCAAAGAACAAAACTCTATCAAAAGCATTATTGTCATCATCATTCTATTTCATAAATAAATAAAACTATCCAATTATATTTCATAATAGCTATAAACATTATAATATACAAATAATGAGTCAATTATAAGGTAATTTTATTAGTTTGGGCGTAAACATTGATACATTATGTAAACAAATGGATAGTTTAGAAAACAACCAACTTAAAACGATAATAGAAAACCTCTACTTTTATAAAAGGTACGTAGATGATATCTTTATCATTTGTGACAACAAATATGACTCAAGTCATCTTCTAACGACATTTAATAATTGTCACTCAGCAATAAAATTCACACTAGGAGTTGAAAACAGACAAAATATCCACTTTCTTGATGTGGAAATGAAAAGAAAGCAAAATGGTACTCTAAGAAGATCTATCTACAGGAAACCCATGTGGAATGGCTAACTATTAAGTTTCCACAGCTGCGTCTTTATCAGTCAAAAAAGAAACTGAATAGTTACACTCGCTACAAGAATACGAAGAATTTGTAGTCCCGAAGTCACTGATGGAGAATTAGGCCTCTTGAAGGAGATACATATTAGAAACGGGTATCATTCGATATTCATTCATATGAACTTAAAACCGAAAACGTCTTAAACATAAATAATTACAGTAGAAAAGAAAAATTCATACATGAACATCGAATTCAATGGTGACAAAGTCACATACATATTAAAAAGGAGAACTTCTGATTCTTTAAAAAGAACATTCTTCGCAGCAACATTGCGAATAGTATTCTCCCGTCGATCATTGTTCATCAATAAATAATCGCATCTGACCAACTCAGTGTGCATTGACCAATTAATCTGCTCATGTGGAACTAGACACATAGGTCGTTCGATGCGTACTTTATCCAAAAAAACCCGGCGTGGCTAAAAAGAGGAATAAACGACTCAATAAGTCGCTCAATAATCGAACACCTTATAATCACAGGTCACTCAGTAAACATGGACTCTGCGTTCAAAGTCATCTACATGATAAGTAGAAGTTTTCCAAAGAATATTAAGCTGCATCTTCTCTGCATTGCCGAAGCATTAGCCATACATCTGGAAAAACCAGAATTGCGTGTGAAAAAGAGACTTGTACAACCTCTTCTTCAACCATTGTCTTAATGTCATATAATTGTTTTCTCTTTCTTCATAATTTTCTTCCTCTACATCCATCTGCTTTACCTTCTATCTTCACCTAAAACCTTTTACCCCTAACTGGTTTATTTTGTTTCTACGATCATTCTGATTACATACAATCTCAATCTCAACATTTTATCTTATCATGTTGATCCCTCCTTTCTCAGTGATGTTTTCCCTATCCATCTTTTTGATCAATACTTAAGCCATTAAAAATCAAGCGATTATTAAACTTTCCTTGTTTTATAAAAAAATATTTTAATACCTTTGTTTATTTAATCTCACTATAACCATGTCTAACAGAAGTTTATTATCAGTATTATTATCATCCTGTGAAAATAAGTATATATATATTTGCGAATGTACAGCTTTGAAAATGAATTCACCGAAAAGAGAACACTTCTTTGAACTAATCTTTCTTATTTAATGTCTTAATGGATGTATTATTATGTTTTTCTTATTGTTAAACTTATATATTACTGAAATCCAAGTTAAAGTATTTAATGTTAAGTGTTAAATGAATTATCCCATTAAACAATTAAAACAAACTTTAATTTCATGAAGAATATATTTCACAACGACTCATATATGTCAAGTTGAAAAAAAATAAATCCATTATTCTTTTTCCCTGTAAAAATGGTGTATTAATACTTGAAGGATTATTTCTAGACTTGAAATTTTATATTTGGAAAGTATAGATAATGCTTATTTAGACAGATACATTCTATATCCTTGAATCACGCTTATGTTTTTGGTCGAATTGACTTCAAGAGAGTTGACTGTGTTAAGTGTAACACATAACCAAGATTTCCTGAAGTTGAATTGTAACTAGAAGTAAAGTTTAAAGTATAATTTTCATATTATACCCTCACTAGTGTTCCTGTATTCAAGTGTTGATATTGGAAATGAGATTGAAACTCAATCCTTATAGTTTATGACCTTCATCGCCAAAACACATGAATTACTAATCTCTCAAACCGACAGTCAATAACTACTCTCGAACGACCATCACCATGTTGTTTATATCATACAATAATTGATGATATAGATGTACTTCGCGCAAACGATCTTCGAATTTGACTCACATTCTGACTCAATTTTTCTGATTATATGACAAAAGTTTTATAAAAATTATCGTCTACGTCTGTACAAATAGTTTTACAACAATTACCTATCGAGTATATGTAGGATATTAAATATATCGAATTTAGAACAACATATATAAACGACCAATATCGAATTTAAGCTATGTAAATACAAAGAGGAAGACTATGTACATTAGCAAAATTATGTATTTGTTATCAAAATGATCATTAATTAATTCGTTCAGAGGTCGGTCAAAGTAAAAGGAGATAGATGAACACATTTCTATTGAACTTAATGTTTAAGCTTCTTGATTCAAATATTTATTGCAACAGTCGTTTAAAGGATTCTTAATCTGGCGGGTTCAGGCAGATAAAAATTAACACTATATATTACTGTAAATGATTGCCCCATCTTAACTGTATGCCCGTTTATATTAAATAATCTAAAATCAAACTGTTGACAGTTTTAACTATACTTTTACTTCACCGCAAAAGTAGGTACTAGCTGATATACTAAACTATTCACGAGTATAACGTCCATCACAAAGAAAGCTAAATTGTTGGATATCAAAAGATTTATCTTGTTTGAATAGTTTAGGCAATACTACATTGAAAGTAGCAAAATATTCAAATGTATCATCATATAGTATAGTATTAAAACCAAATGTATGTTAAGTAGCTGATATTCATCAAAATTCTAAGTGAACAATATAGAATATATTGTAACAAGAAATCAATAATGGTAAGTTAACCAATTTAATAAAATCAACCTCTCATATCATAAATGCACTAAATGATCGTATAAAAAATATGAGCTGATCGTTAAAGAGACTATGCTGTCGTATACCACGATTTTGATGAAGTTTTGTTATCTGAACTGGATGGTTTAGTCGTACAGCTTTCATCGTTCTTTTGAACGACATCATCAGCACAAAAGTGAAGTGTTCGAATTTTTTCATATGTGGTTCACAGCTTTCCTGCAGACCCCCATTGCACAAACAAGTGGCCATCAGGACTAAGTAATTAAGTGAAAAACGCAATGGCGTTTGAAGCGAACAGCACTAGGTTCGAGGAAACATCAAATCTGTGATGCAAGTACATCCTGCTGACGACTCTCAAATACGAAGATCCCAGTGCTAGCCACTATTCATCATCATCATCATCATCATCATCATCATCATCATCATCATCATCATCATCATCATCATCATCATCATCATCATCATCATCATCATCATCATCATCATCATCATCATCATCATCATCATCATCATCATCATCATCATCATCATCATCATCATCATCATCATCATCATCATCATCATCATCATCATCATCATCATCATCATCATCATCATTATCAAAATTTGTTCCGATAATTTCAAATAGATTAGGCAGTTGTGGTAATTTATTATTCATAAACTCAATGATATATTTATAGTATCGAAATGAGTAGAAAATCGAATTTGCATTAAATTGCAAATCAGTGTAAGATGTTTCTTCAAGTGAATAAACAATTCAATGAATTAAATTAACACAAGTGATGTTTCTATACATTTAACTAACTAATTACTTTGAAGTAATAACTTAAAATTAAATGCGATACATTAGGAATTGTATTTTCAACTCATTGAGGTTGATAAGATTTTGTTGTTGTTGTAAATCTGAACGTTTCCAGGAACTGTCAATAAATCAGGATAAAATCCATTGTCAAATAAATCAAACTAAAATATCTAAGTGGAAATAAGTGTAGAAAAATAAAGTTGCATTGAACTAACTCAAAAGTTCTAGTCTATTCTTTAAGATAAACTGTTTTTATTATCTTTATTCTATGGGGGAATAAAATTTAAGTGTACTAAAGTTTTACTACTTATAAATAAATATGTATAAAATAAAGTCAATTTTGAGATGGTAGAGAAGATTTGTAGCTCAGGTGGATGATTTCGATGCAGTTTTGTTCTCTGAGCTGGATGGTTTGGTCGTGGAGCTTTCATCGTTCTTCTGAACGACATCATCAGCACAAACTTCAGATAGAAGTGAAGTGTTTGAATTTCTCCATATGTGTTTCACAGCTTGTTCTGTGCACCTCGATGTTGATTGGTTCTTATTGATTGAGGTGAACAGAACAAGCTGTGAAACACATATGGAGAAATTCGAACACTTCACTTTTATCTGAAGTTTGTGCTGATGATGTCGTTCAGAAGAACGATGAAAGCTCCACGACTAAACCATCCAGCTCAGAGAACAAAATTCCGCCAATATAAAGTCAATGTTTAGAAACATCAATATGAATAGTTATACATAATGTTACTTGCTAATGATAAATAAATAGCTGTTCATTTGAATCAGAATTATTTCAAAAATCGTTAGATCAAATTATGAATGCACAATTAAATATTGTGACAGTGATTTGACTGGAATGATACTTGAGTCATTAGACAAAATATGTGTAAAATTCTTTTTTAGCAATCTAAAAATGTGGCAGTAACTTGAAACAGAAAGCGATATAAGTTGAAAAATCTCTGTACTTGTGAACAAGAATAATTTCAATAAGTCAAGTAATAATAGCAGCTGAAAAATTATGACTAAATACGTATAAGTATGTTAGATAATGTGAGAATTATGCATATAAGTTTTGAACGAAGCAAGACCTCATTACACCTTGATTTCTAATGATTTCTTATCATATATTATTTCGTAATAAAATTACTTTTAAATGTGAACTTTATTTATTTGCTACAGGAACTAGTACTAGGATTACTCGGTAAGACTTCAATAGGATCTCATTTTAAACGCTTTTACTCACACGAATATACACTTGATCTATTTTCTTTTTTCGTGAAGTGTGTTTAACATTTGTTCAATTGTCTTACATTTTATATAACCAATTGTAACGAACAATTGAATTCAACTGTTCAACATATGAGATATTATCAGAGTAGCGTAGATTCATTTTATTTAGCTTAATTCTTCAGAGCTGCCTAGAACCTGCTATATTTAAAAATTGGTTTAAATTACCAATATAAAACAGTTCAGTTGGAAGGTCTCATTACCAAGGTTTAACTTGATAACTTCTAATAAATGGAGCATTGAGTGGATTGTTATAGATAAAAATAATAAGTTTGTAATATCTAATAGAAAAATTGAATTTTCTGGTGTTTCGTAACTCAGTGTAAAACATTTCTTCAGAAAACTTGAATTTGATTAGATCTGTTTAAGTAATCGCAAGACTATTATTATAAAATCTTGTTTTTCATAGATATGATTCCAATCAAAAGTACAATTTTCATTGAATATTTTTGTTATACTGACAATCGATTTTTACGATCTTAGAAAATATTTAAAATAAACAAAATCTAAGAAAGAACTATTACAGGAAATAAAATATTTTTAATTGAGATTAGGAATCAATCAATTTTAGACCACTATTTTAAACCGAGAATCATTGATCAACTCACGAACTTAATAAAAACTCAGCAATCTTCCTAACCCTATACTGATATGAAATATAGTCCAGTCCTTCCAGGTTTCTATGATGGTCTAGCATCAATTAACTCATGAATTCAACTATAAAATTACTAAGGTCTCCACAAAAGCCTCTTCTGACAATTATCATCATATGCTCACTAGTAACGGTCTCCAAGAGGTATTTCCTGGAGTTCTAGTGATAAACAATGACCAGTGGAGTTCAACCGGTCCTGGTGTGAGGTTGTAACTCAATTAAGACAGTGGTGTATGTGTCGCTCAACTTCTTGATTTAGTTGAAGTTAAACATTAACAGTATTGGATGCCGGCCGACTCAGTGTTCTAGAAGTTAAGCATTCGCGCGCGAGATCGATAGGTCCCGGGTTTGAATCCCGGGGGACGACATCATGGATTAGCGATGCTGAAGAGTCCTATAATAGGACAAAATGGCCGTCCAGTGCTTCCAGATCTTTCATGGTGGTCTAGCTTTAACTAACTCATAAGCTCAACTATTGTAAAAAAATATTAATTAATTGAGAATTTCAATAACAATGAATATTTCACAAGATGTTTGTAATAAGAGATGTATTACATAATTAATGAGAGAAAAATAATACCAATCAAAAAATAGAAAATAGAATTTTTCACTGTCAATATTTTTTTCACAGATTGAAATCATGAGTCAATTGAAGCTAGACCACCATGGTAAAACTGGAAGCACTGGACGGCCGTTTCGTCCTAGTATGGGACTCCTGAAAAGTGCGCATCCACGATCCCTCACCTCACGAAATTCAAACCCGGGACCTATTAGTCTCGCTTCTAGGTTTTCCATGGTGGTCCAACTTCAGTTGGCTCATGATTTCAATCTGTGAAATTTCCAAAATCTCCACAAACCTCTTCTGATATTTTTTCGGAATATTTTAAAATTAACCAATGAAAATGATGATAAATAAACAAAATATTTTCACTATTCAAAGTTTCCATTTGAAGAACTAATTCTTCAATAGTACTTAATACCTGAATTTTGTGCTAATGATGTCGTTCAAAAGGACGATGAGAGCTCCACAACTAAACTATTCAGCTCAAAGAACAAAACTCTATCAGAATACTAATATTTTTAACTATAATCTATGTATACTGAATCATAGATTTTGTTAGATCCTTATATCATAATAGTTAACGTTTGAATGATTTTATCAAATATAAAATGTATATGTAATTCAATCACAAGGTTAACTATATCGTATATATGCAATTATTTTGTAATTTAAAACATTATAATAATAACAAATAATTAAGTACAATAATTTTATCAATAAATTTCCATTTAATGTTTGATAATTTTGGTCCTTCCAACAATTATCATTCACTTAATTAATGAGTATAGAATGTTGAATGATCTTTGTAAAGAGAGGAAAATTTGTGTTTAAAATTTGATTATAGGTTGTTCATTTGTGTAAATTCACTTGGTATTTTTTAATTGAATCTTCTAATTGACGTTTAGAACTGCAATTGATCAATCTCTCATTACCAAATATGCATACTGTGCGTATTGCCTCGATATTGCTTTTCAGTCACAAACACTATATGCAAATATGGATAGTGGTTAACAGTAGCTAAGTGGATGACGTGATGACATTTGAAGTGAACGGTACTGAGTTCGAGTCTCACAGTGAACATCAACTCTGCGATGCAGGTACATCCTGCTGACTAGTCCCAAGTATGATGAAACACACGTCCTGGATTCCATTGTTAGCCACCATACATTTTCGCTTATAGTTCGTTCGCATGTTCAAAGTGACTGGGTCCATATAAACATATTAAGGCAAGTCAGCTTAGTTAATTGAGTCTCATGGTATTCATTTTGTGGATTAATTTAGACCAGTTGCAGAATATATTTCACTTTTTTCCTCTAGACATGATGTTTTACAGTGTTCGTTTAGCCACTATGATTACCTTGTTAAGAAAAAGTGATGGAACGTCTCAAGTGTTCTTTTTCTTGTCACACTACATAATAGTCTGTAAAATGCATTTTAGAATATGATATGTACGTACACTAGACACCGAAAAGTTAGATCTTGCATTGTAGTCAAAGGGTGTGATTTTTTTCTTTTGTTTACTTCAGTGTATGGATGTATATATTTTGCTGTTTCCAGGTTAAGTACGTTGATTAAAACGGATAACTCACAGAAAGTTACAAATTATTTGCTAATGAAATAATCTCATAACTTATCATTGTATTCAAAATAAACGTTTTGCCACACCATACCATTTTTTGTTAAATAAATATAAATATTGTGATGTCCGTTCCGTTGTTTCATGATAAATACATTATCTATACCAAGAATACATATGACAGTTATTTTCAGTACATTTTAGATAAAACAAGCAATTTTCATGTTACTTCCATTGTAGGTGTCCTTGTAAGTTTCAGATTTTGGCACTTCACCAAGAAAACATTACATCTTTCTATAATACTCTATCACCAATCAATTTAATCTTAATATCTTCAAATTGCCATTTTTTATGATTTATATTGAGACTATTCTAACCAGTTTACTCAAATCGCTGCTCAAGAGCCAATCAGCAGTCGGTTAATCTAGGTTTAAGTTACCTCATATCATTGCTGACTCTTTTTCTTTATACGTAAACATTGTAGAACCAAACTGTTAAAACCAGAAGGATTCCGGTCGATTTAATAATCTTAAGTCTGGGGTTAACACATAATCGTTGTAAATGAATTGAATTGAAATAGATAATCTTATGTTCAGTAGCCGTAAGTCTGAATTATCCATACTGCCAATTTTTCAGTCAACTATCAATGTTCCTACAAAACTATATATATATATATATATATATATATATATATATATATATATATATATATATATTTCCGGTGAAAACAACCTTTACATAAATGAGTTGCTATCAACATATAACTTAAATGATGCTTA